ATCACCAAAAACTCACTAAAGACTGAAGAAAGCTGCTCTCTTTGATATTCAACCCCAAATTTGTAAACATACAACTAGGAACTCAAAACTATTACAAATCCATAACAATCCATATCCAAAACTATTACATGAAACCTCTGCAATTACTTCATTCTAAGAGGACAGCATTACATGGTCAAACAGAGCAAGAATAATGAACTTTCATACAATGTCCAGAACTACTACAACATCTTCAATTCACTAAAGCTACCATTTTGCCTTTGAGTGCGCACCTGAGTATAGCAACAACTAAAATGCAGCAACAAGTACAAGCCAAGAACAATAATTTCACTTTTGCCTTCAATTTGCTGATTTCAATCTTCAGTGCTACATTCTCCCTCTCGGTACTTCTCAGTTCCCTCAAAATTGCTGCTAGTGTGTTCTTCATTTTTTGGGGTACGGGTGGATCATACCACAAAAAAAATTTACAAGCCCCACGTTTATGCATTCACATATATTTCATAGTCAAAATTCAAGCAATAACTGAACAAAGCCTAGTTTTTAGCACACAAAATTATCCCATAATTTCTGCAACCATGAAATCTTCTTACTGGGTTTGCCTCCGTCCATGCTGTTGCGATTCTGCATTGTTCACGGCAGTGGCATTGCACCATTTTGTCTCCATTGTAATATTCATCATTTCCTTCATAAATCAGCCTTTCACTGTCTGCACCATGAAATCCGACACCGACGCTCTTTAGTACTCCATCACTACTTCGTGAGCTTGACCTTGAGGATGCTTTGTCCCAATTCCTACTTGGATGCATTTCGCTGCAGTGATTTCGTCCAGTGCCACCGACCAGATCACACATCTCCAGAGTCACTGAGCTTTATCTTCAGTGGTGATAAAAATTACACCGGTAACTTTTTGGTTTTGATTTTTAATTCTGAAGAGGAGCCCCAACAGTGAAGTACCAGAAATGCCCCCGCATAAGTGGTCAATTAGACGTTGAACCGCAATTACAAGGTGGCGCCGCCGCGGAGATCCTTAATTGGAATCGATAAATAAATGTAGGGTTTAAATTGGCCAAAAAAATTATATAAGGACTAAATTGACAGTAAAAAAAAGTATAGGGACTAAATTGGCCATTTTCCCATCTAAAAATTTTGGAGTTTTTGGAGCATTAAAAGCATTGGATTTTTTTTTTTCCATTTGTGGGCTGTTTTGATTTAATGTATCATTTTGTTGTTGTTTTCTTATCAAACTAGGAGTGTAGTTGTAATGTAGAAGTTGTAAGAAGTGTTGTAGTATAAATTTTATGATTTTTTATGAAGGTTTAAGTGCTTAAAAACTAAAAATTGGGCTGTCTTTTTGCTATTTTTATCACTTTTGGTCCATTTTTTGTAAAAACTAAGTCTAAAAATGAATTCTACGCCAAAAATGGAGCGAGAGGGTGTATTTTGATAATTTTTTGAGACCGACTGCCGCCGGCAACCCAACCTTTCTTTCTGCCAGCAGTGAGAAAGCTTCAACTTCACCAAAGAGAAAGAAGAAAAATAAGAAGAAGAAGAAGAAAAGGAAAAGAAAAGAAAGAAAAAACTAGAAAGAAAGGTTTGGTTGGTTTTTTTTTTTTTTCAATTTCTGGTTCGTTTGTTGTCATTTTCGTTGGGTTTTGTGGTTGGGTTTTGATTTTTGAATCTAAACCCAATGTTTTATTAGTTGGTTGGATTTTTTAGGTGGGCTTTTCTTTGTTTTTTTCCTTACAAGATAACTTTCATTTTCGTTGGGTTTAACCATTTCAGCCCAGGCCAAACAAATAAAAGAGAAAGAAGAAACCCAGATCAGATTTTTTATACCCAAATCAAAAATCAAAATTTGCACTTTAGCCCCTAATCTTTTGAGTAGTTTTACTGTGGCTCAGAAGTTTTAAATGTTTTTACTTTGGTCCTCAATTTAATTACATTTTGGTTCTTGAATTTTATTTTAATTAAAAATTTTGACCCCTAATCTTTTGAAAAATTATATTTTTGACCCAAAAATTTTCTAATTTTTACAATTTAGTCCCTAATGAATTTTTGACTCTTTCGATTATAATTGTTTCTTTTCTTTAATAGCTAATTATGTTATTTTTTAATATATTTAACTTGTAATTTTTAGATGTTCTTAAATTTCTTTATGTTTGATGTATTAATGTGAATTTAGTATTTTTATCATTATTATTATTTTCAATTAAATTGGTGCCATGATTCTTTTGTTCATTTTGAGTATAAATAGGGCAATTTGACTCTATTTAGTCACTACTTTAAAAGGGAGGTACCCCTATTATTATTTTAATGTCAATTACGTACTTTTATGTACTCCTACGTGCTCCTATGTGTTTATATATTTTATATACTTTGTTATTTATTTGATTCAAATGTTCATTCAAATTTTCTTATATTTGTTTAGTTAATTTTTATAATTATTTGGGAGGCATTTAAATATTTCGAAATGTAATAGATACGAAATATTTTTTGAAAAATTGTAATTAGATAGACCAATGTAATAGATAGGATAAATAGGTTTATTTTATCATATTTTTCCTACTTTAGATTGTAATTAGGTCTCCTATTGTAATAAATAGAATAGATAGATTTATTTTCTTATATTTCATCATTTTAGATTGTAGTTAAATTCACCGTTGTAATTGGTAGGTTTGTGTGTTTATGTGGCTTATGTGTTATATGTTTTATCCGTTTTTCTCAGAATTTTTACATCTAAATATTATGCTTACGTGTTACGTGCTACGTGCTCTTATATGTTTATTGTTTTAATTTATGCCTTATTTGTTTACTATGTATTATTAATGCATGACGTCACCACACTAGTTCAACGCTATTAAGAACTTTTAGAAATGGGTTAGTCCAACGCTAAACCCTTAGATCGTTCATGCGTTAGATTTATCTCTTGCGATTCATTACATTTTCATGCACATTTTTTTAGGATTTTTTTCTCATTTGTATGATATTTCCTATTATATTATCCTCTACCATCTACCCTCTACATATGTTAATCATATCATTTACGATTGCACATCATTTCAAAAATTACAAAATAATTTAATTCATTTGCTTGATTAGATTAGAAGAATTACTCTTTGAACATAGGAAATAGGTGATTATAACTTTTTAGTTTAAATACCCCATTAATCCCTATATAAAAAAATTATGTCACGAGTTTTTGCCTCTCGAACCCATTATATTGCATCCCTATTCTTTGGCCACTTATATCTAGATATAGAATTTAATTTTCTTTTCTTTTTTTTGAATTTCATTTATGCATGCTCGTGACCCCTTTCAAGGGATTATTTTGCACTTCGCAATTAATGTGATTGACATCAATTCAATCTTTGAATGGATATTTTGTCCCTTCCAACATTTCTAAATTCAGATTTGCATCAATGTAGGAAACATCCAAACGTGATAAACTTAAGGGTTAGATTAGCAAAATTTTTTATTAAATCTCGCAACTAGTTTAGATTAGGTTGAAAGTGTGTTTTAGGTTTCACTTGATTGAACCTTTGCCTTTCCTTTCTTCAATCGTAACTTCTTAACTCATTTTCTCTTGTTTTCAAAAACCTAAAATTATCGAAAAGGGTTTCATTTTATTTTATTTTTATTAAAATATTTTTTAGGTGACTTAATACACCCAAACTCAAACTGTCACATTCTTTAAAGTTTCATTCTAGGTTCTTTTTCGCTTATTTTAAAATAAAATAACATCTTTTGTAAATATGATTTTCATTGCAAAAAAATGGGGTGCAACATGTAGGGATGGCTATATTTCTGGGAGCGAACTCGGAGCAAATATGAAGCGCATAGTTACAAGTTATGCCTTGGAATGAAAGATAATTTTGAATCCACTTTGTCTACGAACAAGGAAGCTATAATTAGTTTAGATAAAGGATTATTTCATATTACTTTTTGAAGTACATTTTAGAATACTTTTAGAGTATTTGAAAAACTCAGCAATCCATTTAATGTAACTTATCTTTACGCATCACAACTAAAATGGATTGATGGGTTTTCCTTATCTATGACTTTTGAGTTCAACATTTTGCTGACTTGCTAAATTTGTCAAGACTTAAGAGAATTTTCTTCACTTTGCTTGAAATATGTTTCTGTTGTTATATGTGTCGGTTATTAGTCAAGATATGGAGACTAAAGGACCTCATTTATAAAATCTAACACTTCTTTAGGCTTTGTTGTTCTAAGCCCAATCAGATATCATTATACTTACTATTATTTGATTGTGTGGCCTGAGTTCAAATTAAGTAAATTATTTGAGAGAATGTTTAATGATTTGTTTTGCTTAGCAATGAGTCAAAGCCCGAAGAGTGAAAGAAGATTGGAGTTATTTCTCTGTCTGTCCTACGGACCTACAGTGATTATTTATTAGCTTCATTTTTGGATACATATAATTGGAGACATTATGTGCCCTTTGCATTTTAAATAAGAGGTTTTGTTTGTAAAGACAGTGAACAATTTCTATTTCAATGCTTCATATTATGTATATTGGACCTATTATGTACTTCCTAATTTTGTCCAGCTATGGTGAGTTGTATTCTTGATGACACTAAATTGCAATTTTCACTCACCTCTTTAATTCAATAATTCTTTTTTACTAATCACATGCCTCCTAATTGTATGGCCCCAAATAATTCAACATCCATCATCACAACAATTTGCACAGTGTTCCCCTCCCAGTTTATAAGAAGGAGACGATGAAGCCCTCATTTATATATGAACAAGGGATTAAGTAGGACAGGGTGGTTTTTGTCCACAAACTCTCACTGGTAGAAAGTGGGACACTTTGGAGTTTAATAATTTGTAACGGTCAAGCATTGCTTTTAAGTGACAAAAGAAGGCGAAGTGATTTTGACACCCAACATTAGGGGCAAACTGATTTTGAGAGGGCTTTAAAGGAGTTTACTACCACTTATGCCATATGACATAGCTAAACTCTACTGAGATAATATCTTCTGGTAAAACTCATGGTCCGTGTTCGTAAAGCGTCCCATGCATAAAGTTTGTGTACCTAATGATCCTGTCCACGAACTTCCTTGGACACTAACTCCAGGTGGAGGTACAATGACAAGATCTGCATATCTAAAAGTTACTGTCACCTTACAACCATCATAATCGTCAAGCAAACTTAAAAACATATCTAAGCGTGCCTTAGTTCAGTAGCAAACCCAACTGAGTCACAATTACTCGTAGTTTTTTCACTCCACCCTATCTTTTCAGGACGTACGAGGTTACAACCAATTCTATCCAAGTGTGGAATCTATAGGTCACTATAAAGTTCAAAATTACCATCCAGACCACGCAAGGTAACTTTTCCAAAGATTCCAATCATCCACTCAATTCCCAAGTCAATCATGAAATTAAAAAAAACCTCCTTCAAATGCATTTGCCATCACCCTCGCATGGTTCCTACACCAAAAAAATTGGAACAAATAAAGCACTAGAAAACATTGAAGAATCCCCACAAAAATTAAGATAAACAACCACCACTAGTTTTACCTTTAACTGAAATAACAATGGTTAAATCATACTAAACTAGAAATATCTCATCTAGGGGAAAAACAAAGAATGATCATCTCATTTTTGCAGCAGACATGGAATGAGCCTATATGGCCGCCGATACTTGATATCTGTAAGAATCATGTGGAACAACTATTTTCAAGGGCTTTCTAGTTGAATAACCACACCCCATAACAACATGTTCTGCTCAACCAAACAATCAGTAAATCAGCTATCGTGAGCCAACCATCTGTTAATTTACACCATATCAGAATGAGAACCAGAATCAGAATATGATTCATTTACCATGTGATCAGGCTGCTTAAAACATGTCAATCTAATTTGTTTACAACTTAAAAACTAATGACCAATTGAGATGGTCCTAACTCCAATCCTTAGGCAACGTGCCCACGTTATACCCGAGTATTCGATTAGTTATTGCCCTGACAATTTAATTTAGCAGTCACAACTCCCTTACAGAGGCCAGGTATTAAACTTGATAAACAACAACGGCTCGTATCTGTTGCACATCTTCTTTATTTTTCCCCCACTTTTTACGAGGGAAACCCAAGTGCAGTTAACAGACACAGCAGAAACCCAAAAAGGGCCAAAAAAGTAAAAAGTGAAATTAGCACCATGCAGAGAAGAAAAAACTACCAAAATCGTGTCAGTCTGCAATGGGTGGTGGTGGCGCCGGCAGCGGCTCCAGGCTGGTTGAAGGAAGAAATTAGGAGCATAGCGTTAATAATAGGAATTGGTTGCAACTAGCAGGTAGAAGTCTCAGTGGTATTGGTAGGTGGCAATGAAGGGTTAGTGAGTGATGGACCGGTAGGTATAAGAGTATCGAGAATGGAGACGAGAGAGAACAAGAAAACAGCGGATTAAGTTAAGGTGAAAGGTGGAAAGAGTGAAATTAGTGGAGTGGTGTAACTACGAACCCTATTACGGTAAAAAGACTTGTGTACCACGGTTTCCAATCATGAGAAAATCTCAGCTCAGCTCTTTTAAAATTCAAACCCTATTTGGTAAGCTGAGCATGAGCTTATCCAAAAATTGGACCCAGCCTTTGCTACGGGATCTTTGCAGCCCTAAAAGTCAGTGAATCTTTCGAGCTTTTGTTATTATATCCAATTATGACGCTACTGTTTAATCTAAAGCTTTTTTCTTTTTTTTTTCTTTCTTTTTTAACAGATTATGACACTACTGTTTAATCAAAACTATACATAATATTTTCATCAGTCCATATGAGACAAATCCTGTGTTTATAGGCCAACCATGCATCTTCAGTAATGAAACCAAATCTGAATTCAACAACTAAAAGATTCTGCTTAGGACTCCACACTCCACCCAGTACATGCTTAGGACTCCAAACTTACTTGCTGCAACCAAATGCCAGAAGCATTGTCAATATTGACAACTCCAAAATCCAGGGCAAGTTGCAGATTTATGTCACAATCTCTACTACGGTACAACTCATTTTTTGCCAATATATCTGGTGAAAACCAAAAAGTTTTCTTTTTACTATAAGAAACATAATTAACACCTAGGCCAACTACTTACTGTTTTCCATCCAGCAGGCAATGCACAGCCATTAGTGGCAACCAAGGCAAGAAAGTAACAAAATGGACAAACAACACATCCACACCACAGAAGCCGAAAAAGATCAATATAAAGCTACGATGGTACCTTAGGAATTTTAAGCCTGCAAAGGTTGACTCTCCTATCACCCCCAGCAGCAGATTCATACACACACGCTTGGAATTCCCGCACATCACCAGTATTGAAATCCTTGGCCACAAAGGTCAAATAGAGCTTGGCACCCCCAGCTGCATTGAGAACGCAATTCAAAATCTTGCCTGCTCTAAAGCCAGTTTGCTGCCAATTTAATAATTTTTTTTTCAAGAAATCATAGTTAAAAAAATAGCGGAGGAAGAAGAAGAAGATTAACAAAACCAAAACGAATAAACAGACAAAAAAAGGCAAAAAGCGTACATACATTTTTCTTGTTATAGTGAATAATAGCAGTATTCACCCTGTTCTTAACAGATCTGTAGAAAACGCCACCAGTCTTCAAGTCTTCAAGACAGTTAAAAAAACGGCCTCTTGTCTTCTCCAAATTAAATACCTGTGCAATTGTAAATGTGCAATTGTGTGTATGTATATAGGCATTTATAAGCTCTGGATTCAACAGATTGTATGGATATGTCATAAAGAAAAAAGGTACGAAATTGTATACCACATCATAATATTTCTCCAATTCTTCCTCATTTTTTATAGACCATTCATCCAAAAAAGGATCGAACAGGAAAGCGTGGTGTTCGGACCAGTCGGACTCGGACCCTGACCCCGACCCCTCGGGCTCGGATTCGGACCCGTCAGAATCGGCCTCGTCGGACTCGGCGCTGCGCACGTACTCGTAATCCTCTCCGGACTCGTAATTGGCGTCGAGGTCATCAAACTGAAGTCCATCCCGGTTTAGGGATGACATTTCGCTGGAAGAGGATGACTTTCCTTGGTCGGCGTCTTTGTCCGCTACTTCTTCTCCGTCGATTCCTCGATCCTCCGCCGCTGGTTGATAAACTCCAAGTTCTTCGTCTCTGGAAAGAAACTTTCCCGAAGCCAACTGAAGAGCAAACAAACCCTAATTCTTTCGATTTGCTTTAAGAGCGATTTCGAGGGGCTGCGAATCCGCGATGTATATATAAACGAACTTCCTTGGTTCCTAATATTTTGTATTCTTTTAGCCCCTGACGTATAATCTGAAATACTACAATTTGGCGCTACACCCATCTTGGGTTGCTTTTATGGCGCAAAGCTGAGTCATCTCTGCACAGTGGCTAGAAGTAATAGGAATAGGACAGCACAGCTAGGTGGGCCGGATAATAGACAAAAATGAAAATTGTAACTGAAGGCAGGCTAGAACGGATAATGAACAAGAGGCCCACAGTTTAATTTTAGAACTTCCCTAAAATAAAGCCCGTCTTCACGGAGGAATAAAGATGCCACTTTCCTTCTTTGAAAAAAAAAAAAAAAAAAAGATGCCAATTTCCTGTCTTCGGTTCTAGCATCCGTGAGCTGCATTCCTAATTATTTTAAAGTGGCGTCTTTATCCTTTGGAAACTCGAAAACATTTTGTTTAGTATGTACAAAATTCATTAGCAAAGTTTAATTTAATGTTAGATCTCATTTGTTCTACGTTATCATGAAGTGTGTGTGTGTCTTCTATCTATTTATCTAAAGAGTTTAAAATATATCCAATGCATTCTGATTTAATGCTTTTTAAATATTCAATAATTTATTGTCACGTAAACTTTTTCGAATATTCTATTATATTAACAATACACCTGCATTCACTAAGAATTATTTATTAGTTAATAGCAATGGATTTTTTTTGTTGAATCCCATAGAGTGTTTTATAACTAAAAATATAGATATAGGTTTACATTTTTTTTCTTTTTCCTATTCTTTTTTTCTAAATTTTCTTTACTCTCTTAATTTCTTCTAGTATTTGTTAAATTTTTATTTTTGATTAAAAACATCAATTACATTGGTGAATAAATATTGATTCCCCATTAAAATAATAGTCAATCAAACAATGAGCAGACGATATTCATTAACTCATTCCAATTAGCCTTAATCAAATGATAAGTATCACTATGAATAGTTTTGAAACTCATTCCTTAAGGAACCAGATTACCTAATGCCTTCTAAGTACACGAAAATAAATTGACTTATGCTAAACTTGATTGATGGTATATAAATTTTTTGTGAAGATTCATGAAATATGCGATGCCATTCTCAAACTGAGTTTTGTTTTTAACTTAATGTTTTGAGAGTATGCAAAATGAATCAATGACCAATTGTAAGTAAAGAAAAAGAAAAATCAATGAACGATTGGTACTTAATATTATATTAGTGCATAAGATACATTCTAGGTGTGTGAAATTAATCAAAATTATGGTCTTTTGTAAAAATATTATTCATGAAAATTAATTTTTGTAAAGAATATTTATGATGTGGCGATTAGTTATTTGGTAATTAATTTCAATTGGCCAATTACTGACATAATTTTAGTTCATATTTTAAAACAGGAGGGTGTGCAATTAATTAATTGACACAACTATCCTTGAAAATATGTTTTTAATCTGGGGAAAAATTAGATGCTCTTAATAATAAGGGTATAAATGAAAGTTTAGAAAATACTAAACATGTGTAAACACTAAATGATAATGCTCATAATCTTTAACTTTATATATTGTATAGATAGTATAAAAAGGTTTTTTTTTTTTTTTGAAAGTAGTTGTACTAGTCTGAAAGCATGTCAAGTGTATTTTTTTTAAAGTTAAATTCAATTTTGGATTATTTGTTATACTTATACGTTGTTACTTATAATTATTTATTTAGCGAGACTTGATTTGACGGATTCGAATAACTCATTTAAATCTAAATCCATATTGAAACTAAATTGTTTAAGATAGTCAAGTAAAGAATAAACTTACACACACTGACAATGTATACACCGTCAATGTTGAATTTATGATATACGTGTAGAAGTTTGATTTCAAATACAAATTTTGCATAGTTATCATTTATTCAAAACTAACAGTATATACATTATCAGTATATAGAATACAGAATATTAATCTTTAAGTGAATCCGCTAAGTTTCTTTTACTTTTTTGTCCTTCTTGTTCTTTCTCCTTATCTTGAAAATTCAAGCAAACTTTTCAATTGTTGCCTAACTAATTCTTATGTTAATGTTTAAATCTTTTTTTTAACTCCTGTAATATTTCATTAGTTGACACTTGTCACAATCATCATTTGTATTATGGCACAAATTTTCTTTGACTATTTTCTTTTTTCTTTATTTGGATAAAAATTTTATTTACTAACATAACATGTTTTAATTTTTATTACAATAAAATATTATTACTTATGTAACAATGTGCGTCCAACTCCAGCATGTGCATATGCAAAAATCTAATTTTCATCCAATTTTTAGCTACATTTTTTTCACAATACTAACATTTACTACTTTTGTAAATTGTCATATAATGTAATCACATCAACATTCCTAATTCTTCCATTTATCTTTACACTCCACTTAATTAACTTATCCTTCTACAATACTTATGAGTCATTATTTTTTTTAAATTTCAAGTACGAAATAGCAACGCTATATTTGAAAAGTCCAATGTTTTCTTTATACCTAGTCCTCTTTTTCTTTCATGTTTCTTTGGTATCACTCACTTTTTATTTTCATTTTTGTTGGGGCCAGTATAGCTAGAGAGTTTCTAAAAATATGTCCAATTACAGAGCCATTTTATGATGTCCAAATTTGCAAAAGGGCTTCCCTATAATATCAAAAGTTTTTTTTTCCACCCAAGTGAATTGCATTCTTATTGTTTGGTCCTACAAGCAAATGGCCATACTCATTCACAGCATATCTTTAGGCTGACTCCCTCTACCTAGCCCCACCAAGCACTATTGGCCTTCTCATATTGGCTCTGCCCACGGTGGGCAGAAATGTTCACTTTCCACCGTAGCCAAAACCTAGGGCGCATATGAAGTCCAGGAATTTGGAAGGGTAACCTTTGGCTTCTCTTGCTTTCTTACCTCTTCATTTGACGTTACTCTTTCCCCGGTGCATTTGTTGTGCTTTTTCATGTCTCTTCTCCTGTTTTTATTGTGCCCCATTTCACTCCTTTGATCCATATGTTAATTTGTCGAAAAGGTTGGGTGAGGTTTTGGGCAATAATGCAAAATGAGACTCTAGTTTCCCGATGAGGTAGATTTTTGTTTTCCAAATGAGAGGCGCAACAGATTTTCTGTCCCATACCTGTACACTGTGCTTGTTCTCTAAGCATGGTGACTGAAAATAAGAACTGTTGCTTTTGTCTTGGAGTATTGAAATTTTTACGCTTTGAGCAAGGAGAAAGGGCTTTTCTCTCATGTATGGTCATTCACAATCCCACTGAATCTGGATTTGTCTTTTGCCCACCCCCATAATCATTTAATTAGGAATTAGAATATTTTCATGCCAAATAAACAAAGAAGTGACTTTAAGTTTGATAATCATTACTTGTGAAAAAATTGGTGCTTCCAAATGGTTGTTTGATAATTTACCTCAATTAAATAAAGCTATGACAATCGTGATTATTTTGTTTCATATAAAGTATTTTAGAGGTAGATAGATTGAGTTAAGCAAGTAATTGTTGCTAAGGGTGATCATTTGCCACTGAAAATCGTTTATATGTGTAAAAAATTGCATTCAATTGGTCCAATTTAATGCAAAACTAATTCAAGTTTTCTCGTTGATTACTAACGATATTTCATTAGTAATAGTTACTTTTTGAATTAGATTCAATTATTCCAATTTATTGCAATTCCTGTCACATATGGGGCATCGTGAAATTTTAAAGGGCAAAACAAAACTGTCGAATACGCTCCTATTGCTATGACAATCATGATTATCCTGTTTTATATAAAGTCGTTAATTAGTAGGTAGATTTAGTTAAGCGAGTAATTTAAGTGATAGGGGTGATTGTTCGCCACTAATAACCATTGATATGTTTTAAATTAATAAATTGGTCCAATTTAATGCTAAACTCCACAAAATTCTCTCTCTGATTAATAATGATATTTTGTTGGTAATCGTTAATTTTTGAATTAGATTCAATTATTCCAATTTATTGCAATTCCTGTCACGTAGGGGGCATCGTGAAACTTTAAAGGGTAAAACAAAATTGTCGAATATGCTCCTATTGCTATGACAATCGTGATTATCCTATTTTATATAAAGTCATTAATTAATAGGTAGATTTAGTTAAGCGAGTAATTTAGGCGATAGGGGTGATTGTTCGCCACTAATAACCATTGATATGTTTTAAATTACATTAAATTGGTTCAATTTAATGCTAAACTCCACAAAGTTCTCTCTCTGATTAATAACGATACTTTCGTTGGTAATTGTTAATTTTTGAATTAGATTCAATTATTCCAATTTATTGCAATTCCTGTCACGTAAGGGGCATTGTGAAACTTTAAAGGGTAAAACAAAATTGTTGAATACGCTATTGTTGTTGTGACAATCGTGATTATCCTATTTTATATAAAGTCGTTAATCAGTAGGTGATCGTTTTTAACTATTGAGTATGATTACCTACCCAAAACTTATTTTTGGGATAACTCCATATTAATTTTTCAATGAAATTGACTTTGTTCGCTTAAATTGGGATGCTCCATTATGTGCCTTTGATTAGAGTCTACGAGTTATACATAAGTCTAATAACATATTAGACGTTTTATTAACATTTCACAGTGATGAAAATCTTTTTAGTCATGGTACAACTTCCACTTCTTACTTTATATTTTTTTTTGGCCCATGTTCCCCAATAACCTGTAAGGTTTGAGTTGCCTAACCGGCTCATGTGAGTCCATTAACCTGCATTGATTTCTGTGTTTTCTTAGTTGTCCTTGATTTATTGGTCTATCACAACTTTACCACACAAATGGTCTAAACTACTATACCATATTGTAGAATATCCCTCTCATTTAAATGGAAGTAGATAATATTCCCCTGTGATTTCAGCAAAAGATTCAAATCTCCACACGCAGTGGCATCCACTCAATTCCCAAAATCAATCATGAAATTCAACCTCCTTCAAAGGCATTTGCCATCACCCTCGCATAGTTCCTACACCAAAAAATTAAAATAAATAAAACAAAGGAAAACATTGAAAAATTCCCACAAAAATGAAGATAAACAACTACCGC